AAATTAAAGGCCTAGCATTACTTGGCAGACTGTTTGTCATCAGCTTAGGATGCGTTGGTCAAACCTTGGAACCTTTTAAATTGTGTTGAATCCAAAAGTTGTTCAGTAGAATTGGTGCATCTTATGAATATTTCCTGAAAGTTTCATTCAAATCAGTCAAGTAGTTATTTTGTTATTTGGCTAAACAACAAACAGAGTTTACTCCAGTAATTAGTGGCTAAATAAAAAAATAAAAACACTTCAGGGTATGTGATGGGGATGACTCTCAGCTACAAACTTATAAAGTTTTAGCTCAAAACCTGTAACATTGTCATTTAACAACATTGACATTTGGGTCTGCTAAGGTTGCTTAGCAGTGGCATCCATCTTGAATGGTGGCTCCAAAACGGTTGTAAATATACATTATACAAATATAATCTGAGCGTTTCATTAAATACATTCACTGGTTTAAATACAATTTAGAGTTGATTCTGAGGTACGAACCATCTGCACCCCTCTGGTCATCGGGGACAGGTTTATTCAGTGTTCCCTGTACGAGAACAAGCATTTAGTTTGTTCTTAAACTTGAGAAATGATTACCTGAAAACATGAGACGTGCAGAATGGCTGTTTTTGATGATTTATTGCAGCTTTACCATAAAAAGGTAAAATTCATTCTTATCGTTTTATTTTATTAGTTCTCAGCTTTTTTTTTTTGTTGTTGTTGTTCGTTTTATGTAATGTAAAACTGTAATGTAATTATTTTAATTTTTTTTTTCTTAAGTAAGTTGTAAGTTCTTCTTTTAATGCAGTTTCCTGAATCTGTAAAGCACTTTGTGTTGCATTGTGTATGAATGGTGCTATACAATTAATTGTCTTGACTTGCCTCAATATGCAATATTAGGCTAACACTACAGGCAAACAAATACACACACACACCAACACACATAAACACACACAAACATTTGCACTATTGCCCTTGTGCCTTTGGCAGCAGGTGATTATCAGCCAGTTTTTCTATCAGTCTGTTATGGTCTCATTACTGCTCTGTTTGTGCTCTTTAGCAATCTTGAGATTTCCATTGCAAGCTCAAGATGCACTCACAAATATCTGAAGAAGAGGCTTGAATCCTTAAAGCGGCTTTTGAAAGTGGAATAAAACAGGTTGCCTGAGGATACCAGATCACCACTCTTTTAATGCATCCAAACTTTTCTTTGCTCAAAAAAATATATAATAGAGAACCGTATTTTACCATGACAGACGTGGTGCAGTGACGTAGCCTGAAGGCAGAGAGAAAAGCAGCCACTGAAATGTCTCTTGATAACTGGCTCTTTTTTAAATAGAAGATGGATACAAGTTAGAATTACAGCATATGAAGCACACTAAGCATATGCAGCTAAGTAGCTCATTCGCAGATTTAATCCAAAACTATTTTTTTGGATTAAACTACTATTTTATTTGTTTTATTTGAAGGTAAATAAAGGCATTTTGACCTTCTAATATATTATACATGTCAGTGCTTGACATTAGGGCTGAACGGTTTTGGAAAATATTGTAATTGCGATTGTTTTACCTCAATATTGTGTTGGTGATTTAATATGCAATTATTTTTCATTGTCTTCTTCTCATGTATTTTTCAACGAACACAAGAAATCAATAAATCTGTTTCAGTTGCAAAAATCTCCAATGTTTTCAGCTCCGCTGCAACTCTGTTTCTGTATTTTTTGTGTAGCTCCAGGATAGCAACTTGGCTAAAATGTGTGCACGAGGGCATTCTGTACCACTTATCCACTGTGTTTACCAAAGCTGTAAACACAGGCTTGGTCAGTATATTAATGGGCGTCATGTCTGTCGCTATAAACTCTGTTATTGATTGAGTTATTTCCATGTGCTGTTTTGAATTATGTTCATGCGGGGTAATACCTTCGAACAGTTCGGTCAGTGATTCCTGTCGACTGCTACTTTGCTTACTTGAAGTTGAAGCACTGGTCGTTGGCATTCTAGCCGTGCAACTATTGTAAATGGCTTTGTGGTGTTTTTTTTTAAGTGTCGACTAGTCGATTCTATGTCATTCCACGAGTTTTTATATTTCCGGTCGACTAGTCAACCTGGAATATAAATAATAAATTACTAATAATTTAAATAATAAATTACTTATATATATATATATATATATATATATATATATATATTTTTTATTATTATTATTGCAAATATGATATAGTGTCTTGAGTTCCTATGACGTCATCGACTAGTCAAAGTCGACTTGACTTTTATTATGTTTTTTTCTTTTTGCAAAATTGTGAAAAACAAAGTGAAAAAAGTGGGCTTTCACATAAAACTTTATTTTTCACCAATACTGTCAGTGCAATGAAGAGTTTTCTGAGGTGCTGCACCCTTGACAAACCTGAGTTTACACTGCATTTAATGCAGTTATTTTATTTTAATATCAGGTAATATAAAAATGGAAATCATATTATAATGGTGCCTGTGGGTTATCTCATAATGAATATGTAAGTGTAGGCTCTTCACAATTTATTTTTTGTGGCTGAAGTAATAACTCTAACCACAAAGCTGTGGTTTTGAATATAAATCAAGTCCTGTAGTTTGAAAAAAGCTTTCATTAAGCTTTGAGTTGAAAACATAATAAAATGCTGTTGTTTTTGTTCTTAGATGCAGTCCTGACTGACAATGTTTATGAGGTGTAATCGATAAATAAATGTTTGGAATGAAAATATGTTTTCCTGGAAATGAAACATGAAAATTGCTTTTGCATTTTCACAAATTTGTTTAGCTGTTTATGTTCAAACTAATTTGAAAAATATTTACCATAGGCTGAACAGTTTCATGATTTGCAATCTGAATTGTAAAAAATGAATTCCACCGGCCTGAAGTTCCATGAAACTAAATTGAAAAAATAAAGTAAATAACTAGAAAAAATATATATTTCTTCAAAAATGCAGTACGAATGCTTATTTCTGAACAATTTTGATGAAAGCTGCTGAAGAAGCTGAAGCCAAGCTGTAACTTTTCAATCACCAAATCACAACTTGTTTAATATGAACAGTTGAAAATGTAACTAAACATTTTTGAATGACTTGCGGAAACTCTAACAAATAACAATAAAAAGCTAGCTTGGAGTCAGAAGTAGTAAAATTCTATCAAAAAGCAGGAAAATGCTAGTTAAGAGCCAGAAGTAGCAGAATGGTAGTAACTAGATGGAAAAGCTAGCTGTGAGTCAAAGGTTGCTAAACATTAGCAAAAAAAAAAAAAATGCTAGCTTACCAAAAGTAGTGAAACAATAATAAATTAATAAATAATAATAAAAAAAACCCATTAAAAAGTAAGCTTAGGGCTAGATTTAACAAAATGCCAGTAACAGCCAGAAAAAAGCTATTTTGGAGGCAGAAGAATCAAAATGCTAACAAAAAGCAGGACAATACTGAGAGCCAGAAGTAGCAAAACACTAGCAAAAAACAAGAAAATGCTACCTTAAAGTCAGAAGTAACTAAGTGCAAGCTAAAAGAAAAAAAAAAGTTAGCTTAGAATCAGATGTATCAAAAAGCTAGCAAAAAGCAGGAAAATACTAATTTAGAATCAGAAGTAACAAAATTATAGCAACAAAGCAAGAAAAAGCTAGCTTTAAGTCAGAACTAGCTAAATGCTTGCAAATACCATAAAAAGGGTAGCTTAGTGCGGACAGCACGGTGGCGCAACTGGTAGAGCTGCTGCCTCTCAGCAAGCAGGTCCTTGGTTCAAACCCCGGTCCAGGGGCCTTTCTGGGTGGAGTTTGCATGTTCTCTCCGTGCATGCGTGGGTTATGTGTCCCTGTGATGGACTTGCGACCCGTCCAGGGTGTACCCCAACTCTCGCACAGTGATTGCTGGACATGTGCACCGGCGACCCCCGTGACCCAAGATGGAAGAAGCGGGTAAAGATAATGGATGGATGGGTAGCTTAGTAGCAAAACGCCTAGCACATAGCAGGAAAAAGCTAGCTAAGAGTCAAAATAGCTAAACTCTAGTGAAAAAAAGAGCCTGAAGTAGTGAAGCACAGAAAAAAAACAGGAAAATGTTAAAATGTTTATGTCTAGAGCCATTTAAAGAAATGGGTGATCTTTGACCCTATCACCCAAAATGGATAGGGCTCATTGTTGACCCATGATGTTTTCATTTCTGACGTTTGATAGTTCTTTGTTAAACGATTATCAAATTTGACATATCTAAATAAAAAAGGTGACTTTGACATTTGACCCGATGACCTTGAAATCAAAATGGCTCATCTTGAAGTCAAGAGGTGTCCAGCACTGAAGTTTGACATTTCTATGTGTAACAATTATCTAATTAGAGATATAAAGAATGTTGCTGAATTAGGTTGAAAACTGTTTAAATGAGCACAAAAAAATGTGGACTTAGCTGAAAAAGACAAAATTCTTAGAGACTGATAAAAGGTAGCTGAAAGGCAGAAAAAAAATTAGCAGAAAGACGCTGAAAGGAGCACAAAAATAGTGACAAAATACAAAGTACTTGAAATTAGCTGAAAGTAGCTTAAGAAAGCTAAAAATAGCACAAGGAATCTGGAAAAAGCTGAGCCAGAACAAAAGGTGAAATGAGCAGTAAAGGGTTGACAACAGATCAAAGGATTTGAAGGATTGAAATGAGTTCAATTCATTGTCAATAAGGGAAAAAAATAGCATAAATACCTAAATATTTCTTAAAACTAAAGATGCCCCATTCAGGAAACTCATGCTGTAACTTTTGGTAACGTCATAATAGGTGTTTCCTAAATGAGCTGAACATTTTCATATTTGAATTGCGGAACGAGTCTGGAAGAACGATGGCAACAATAATAATAATTATTAAAAGAAACAGAAAAACAATAGTGTGAATGCTTAATAAGCATTCTCACAATAGACTGACAATAAGATAACAAAGTTTGTCAATAAATTTGATTTCTCCACAGTAGTTTGATTACATTCACCAGACATTGTTTATGTCACCTGTAACTTCTGATTTCACACAGATGCTGGTTTGGCCTGAGCGATTTCCTGAGGACATTACCAAAGTAACCATCACTCCCGACTACCCCAGTTCACGACACACAGGGCTCGTCAACGGGCTCAAAAAATTCTCCTGGTACTATGGCTCCACGCTCTGCTTTACTACACCTGGAGACGGCCCCCGCAGCCCACCTGTCCTGCTTCAGACGCTCGAGGACAGTGAGTGTACAATCACACACCCTGACTGCCACAGCATTATTACATCACACTCTCAGTTTGATTAAAACCAGCACGTAACATACTGAAACTCCATCAGCGTCACCTACGGATCATAATGAAGGTGTAATGCTCAGCTCTGTGTTGAATCCAGCTGTTTTTGATGCTCACCTGTGTCCACAATACACAGTAAACACAAATCCCCCCCCCCCCCCAAAAAAAAAATTGTATTATTTTACTTTTTAATTCCTTTGTTCTTAGTTTTTCACCACCTCCATTCTGTTCACCGTGTTTTTTAAAGGGAATTGATTCATATGTTTTCATGCGTGTTTGTATTTACAGCCCGCTGTTCCATGGATAAACATAACAGCTGCCACTCCCAGCTACAGGAGCACATACACCCAGTCCCACCATCAAATAAACACAATAGCCCACAGGCAGACAGACAAGCAATTATTAGCAACCAGCAATTATTGAGTGGGAAAAGGATATTAGAAGCCATGCGCACACGCTCACATAGCCACAGCAGTGGACGGGTATTGATTGGTTGCTGGGCGTGTTGCAGGGTTAACGGTGGGTGTAATTCTTGCTTGATGATAGCTTTTTGCATGTGTGTGTGTGATTGTGATTGTGTGTGAGAGTTATTGAATGTCTCAGATGAATAGCTTAATCGCTCTGCAGGGAGAGAGCTATGGATGAAATGAGAAACGACAGGCTTGCGTGGGTCAGTGTGTGGAGAGCGCAGGGGTGCCGGTCACTGCAGAAGCAATAAGAGGAGGCTGTGTAAAGTGGAAATATTAAACACGCTGCTGAAGAGGTTTTTATTAATATTATCTGATGCACGTGTGCTTTTTAAAATTTGTTTATTTTCTTAGCACCTGGACCCGTTCGCCAGCTGAGCTTCACTGAAATCTTGGATACCTCACTTCGAGTCAGCTGGATCGACCCTGAAGAAAAGAACGGCATCATCACTGGTTAGAGCTTGACAGTATAAAATACAGCACACCACTTTTTAATAATGGTCTATATGTATCTTCCATTTACCACTCTGTCAGGTTTTCATTAAATTTCAGTTCTTCCAAAAAAAAATTTAATAAATAATGATTAAATATATAACATTCATTTTCAGTCATAGCATGTACAGTCCTTCCCTGGTGGAAAAATGTCATTTTAAAACTAACTAATTAGAGTGAAACTATAAACGCACACCTTTGAGATAACCCATTTAAAAGGGCAGTTCAGACATTTTGAAGTTGGGTTATGTGGAAAGGTTTATAAGTAAGTAATACCATAGCAGGTGTAGATAGCTCTTAGAACAGCCTCAATTTGGAAAAAAATAAAGTTGATTTCTGACTGGTTTCAGGTTCAGGTTAGGTTTATTTGTCATAATCAAAATCAACACAAGGTCAACAATGCAATAAAATGCTTAGGACGAGAAGAACAGTCTCAGCTCGCCAAAAAAAGAAAAAAGAAAACAACAACAAGAAATACCAAAGCGTGCAGCAAAAATACTAAAACATACTAAAATACTAAACACGGTTTCATCAAACATGGTTTAAAGAACCCAACAGCTCATCCGAGCAGGGCAAAGTTGATCGCTGTCATCTTTGATAAAAACAAACAAACTCCAATCTTACATAATTCATAGCTGCTCATTCAGATGATTTTTAAAAATACATTTGTACACTGCTGTCAATTTCACATAAATAGCTATCCATGCATACTGTTTGTGATACTTTATGTACATAACTGTGGAATGTAAAACTGACAGCGATGTAAAAGTGTTTGGTGATCCTCTATGAAATGTATTAAATTGAAGTTGTTTTAGGATTATCTACTTTAATCTATGCCTCACTCGGACTAGCTGTTAACTCTTTAGTCCATTCAGAAACAAAATAATGTTTTTTCGAACAAAACTATCTACAACATGTAAAATTGTACTTGTTTGTAAATTCTCCATAGAACTCCCCTTTAACAACAATCTGAACCACCACTTTGACTTTTGGAGTTTCTTATATACAGTATTCTCTGCTCAGTCTTTAATTCTTCTGTCTGACATCCAGCGACGCCCCCTCTATGTCTGACATTATGTTTGCATATAACTGATTCATCATAAACTAATCATTTCCCTCTGCAGTTTGTCTTTTCACATTATCGCTAAAGCATGCCATCTACTCACATGACTCTTTACCCAGGGTGGTGTTTGTGTGGCACATCAGAGAAGACCCTCATTTATTTTGCTTCTGCTCTTCCATAGCTCTGTCAGGCAGTCATGCTGTGAAAACACAACAAGCTGCTGTGAATTAAGTGATTACATTGTGAGCAAGTGTGTGTGTTTGTGTGTGTGTGATGTTATGACATCATGTCCACCATTCATCAGGAACCTGCACAACATCACCACAATCACACAGCGCGAGGCAGCAGTGCCTTTACAGTCAGCTTACACACTCGGAGGAGTGGGAAAATGGGTATTCAATCAAGGTCACCTTGAACATTTACTCCTTTTTCCTCAACCTGCTTTTCATCCAGCACCTGGTGAGCGCAGAGATAGATGAGGGACCGGTCGCTCTCCTCAGGGCTTTACACACAAGTGGCCCTGCTCACGCACACATCTCAGGGTGGTGGAGTGTGATGCATGACTGGGAAGATGCAAAAGGACAGACAGGGATTTTAACTCCAGTTACTCCTCCTCCAGTTTGGCAAGGCCTCTCTCATTATATGTTGGTGTGTTTGTATGTGACTGCTCACATCTGTATGCACCTTTATTTACCCAGCATGCTCTCTCCACCCTGCAGGTTACACGGTGTGGTGGGAAATACCCAACGTCAGGTCAAGTCGTGAGGAACGCTCTTTGTCCAACTCCACGCTGCGTTGCCAGCTGACAGGCCTCACCTCCACCACTGTGTACACAATCCAGGTGGCTGCGGTCACCGCTGCGGGCCAGGGCGTGGTCACATCATCCACCATCTCCACCGGAGTTCCACCAGGTGCTGAAAAAAAATGCGCGCACGTGCCTCTAACAAATGCTAAATGCTGAATTGTTTCCTGTGTCTGTGTGCTCGTGAGGCAGAGTAAATATGACTGATGAGCTCCCACGATGTCGTTGTCGTTCCTCAGGCTGATAAGTGGCTGTTACTGTGCATCCATGAATCATCTCCCACACTGCAGACGCACACATTCACATCGTCAGACACAAGTTTACAGCAACTGAGGGAGAGCTTCAGACTGTGCTTGTTTGTGTGTGCGGAGCACTTAAAAGATGCTTTTGTGTGCATGACGAATTCATGTGATTGGATTCGGGGCCAAGCTGCAGTCATTATTAGTACTGATTAACTGCAAATGGCAACTTAGAAAAGATGTGGCAGAATGGGATAGGTCATAAAAACAAACACAGAAGAGGACTGAGAGAAAGAGTGAGAAGATGAGGATAAGAAACTGATGGAGAAAGAGAAAATGCACTTTTCAAGGAACAGAAAGACCAAAGTCCCTCAGAAATGGGACTGTGTGGAAGCGTCGGAGCATGGAGGGAGAAAAAAAAAATGCAGCTCAGACAAGCAGGATTTTTGTCCTAACATTTTCTAATGACTAATTTATAAGTAAAAGCAGGAAAAAGTGAGAGCAAGATAGATGCAGACAGTTCTTAGATTTAGAGGTTATTCATTAATTCATGAAAGCAAAAGAGTGAAAGAAAGACGAGGGACTGAAGATTAGGAAAAAAGAGCTGAAGAATGAACAGAGAGAAAATAGAGGAGAGAAAAATCCACCAAACACGGATTCTTTTCTGTTTTATTTATTCATGAATTCATGAAGTTCAGAGATTTTTGTAATTTATCTTAGCAGGACAGCTGATATCAACATTTCCAGATTATAGCCTTTACAAGTAATCTGCGTACATTTACACAACCGTGCTATGTTTTTAGCTCTAAATTATTTTGTGATGCTTCACATATTCAGACTGCAAACAGTAACTGGACACAGTCACATTAAGCTGTCAAATTACCAGAAAACATCTGATGGATATTTTCTTAACACTGTCTGACATTATTTAGTTTTACAAAAGAGCAGGACAAGACAGTATGTATAAACCAAACATTACAAAAAAGTATTTGAAAAGAGCAAAGTAGAACGTGTTTGTGATTGCTAAATGTCAGTTTAATTGACAGAAACAAGCTGTCACATACTGGATTCATTAGCACGCCGTTTTTAAACGGTGTTGTCGTGTGCGTCACTTGCTTGACTAATGCCAATTCAATTCAGCAGCTGTCAGCAAAGATGTCTGTTCAGACACAGTTGTAAACTGTATGTGACGTGTTTGAAATGTTGGCAAGTAAAAAAAAAAAAAGGTAATATTTATTGGTGTTTGAATTTTATCTAAAAATGATACAGAAAAACTGGTTCATGTACTTGTCACATCCAGACTGGACTATTGTAATGGTTTATTATCTGGGTGTCCAAATACTTCTTTAGAAAGTCTTCAGTTAATCCAAAATGCTGCTGCCAGAGTCAACTGGAGTTACTGGGAGAGATCATATCTCTCCAGTTTTAGCTTATCTCCATTGGCTCCTTGTCAAATTCAGAATTTAATTCAAAATCTTACTTCTAACCTACTAAGCCCCCAAAAACCTAGCTCCATCTTATATTACAGATCTTATACATTTTATTGTTGGATGTAACTGGGACCTTGTGTACATAATTTCGCTCCACCACATGTACCACATGAGGTGCGAATGACAATAAAGAAACTCTGACTCTGACTCTCTGACTTACTGTTCCATATTTTCCCAACAGAGCACTTTGCTCTCAGACTGCAGGCTTACTTGTGGTTCCTTGAGTATCCAAAAACAGAATGGGAGGAAGATCTTTCAGTTGTCAGGCTCCTCTCTTGTGGAACCAACTTCTAGTTTCTGTCCATAGGGCTGACACATTGTCCAGTTTTTGATAAAACCTATAGTTAGGGTTGGATTGTTATGCCATAGGCTTAGTTGAGGACAAACAGACCTCATTTCATTAAATGAATTGTTACAGTTTTCATGTGACACTATTTCTAGCTTAACATGTGATTCTCGGCCTTCCATTTTTTAATCTGTTCCTCCTTCCTGTCCTCTCAAACCCAGTCGGTCGAAGCTGATGGCCGCTTGTCCTGAGCCTGGTTCTGCTAAAGGTTTCTTCCTCATGAGGAAGTTTTTCCTTTCCACTTTTGCCTTCATGCTTGCTCAAGATGAGAGTCTGCGATGAAGTTAAACTTAAAGCAGTCTGCTCCTCAGATAAATAATATTATTAACTTACTTTTTTGGTATATGAATGTTTCTGTTCAGTGTCCTGAGACGACTTCTGTTGTGA